TAGAGAGGGCTGTAAAGCACTATGAAGTGGTATAAACATCTAAGTGCTATTGCTATTTGTATATTTCCTTTTGTTTTCTTCTGTTCATTGTACCAATTCTGTCTCGTTTATTTCTTATAATACTGTGAAGAGGAAACCTTGCTGCTTCTTACTTGGCAGCAACTCACTCAAGATGGTTGGAAGGAGGGAACAATGTATACACCTGAGTGTAAGGGAAAGAAAGAAATGGGGTCATGATAATGTTACACGTGTGTGGATGGGGATGCACACATATATCTGCATTATGACCTGTGCAACTCCCTGAAGTTAAAAAGAGTTGAGATAATAAGGTGGGCAGCATATAAATTTAACAGTAAAATGTTAAAAAGCTGTCCACCTATGATTCAGTGAAGAAAACAGGCCTATGTTTACAAGAGTCTCAGATAAACCAGCCTTCCCACTCAGAATATTGGGTATTTGGGCTGGAAAGACTACAAGTTGCAGAATTCTGCAGGGGAAACCATTCTGCAAAGCCAATATTCTTGACACCAATGATCCAATGGCAAGACGTTGTTATTTAAATCATCATCTTAAAATGGGTGTCTCATATCTGAACTGCAAAAATCTAGACGTCCACTAGAGGATTAGTGTTAGGAAACTGAACTCTCTTGTGCCCCCTAGACGCTTATATATTTTTTTCAGCCCAGATCTGGTTTATTTCAATGGATTTTGTAGAGAGGAGCCCAGGGGAAAATGAGAGTATAATTTGACTTTCTCTTTAACTGAAAACCACTTGCGTTTTTTCCCTTGTTGCTTTTTTTGGTAATATTGGCTACTGTGGGAGGCAGCTTTGAGCTAATCCCCCTTGATTCCCTGCCATTCCTGGCAATTGCACCAAAGACCTGAGGCACTGAGTGAAACATCAAAAGGAAAATTAACATCTTCTATCAGCAATTAGAGGAAATTATGTAGATATACATCTTGTTTTATACCTTCTCATGTGTGTTTTTCAATCTTTACTCTTTGATTTCTCCCTTCACTTCCATCTCCACTTTCTGAAAAGAAAGCATTTAGAATCCCTCTTGTAAAATCCAGAGACATAATTAGCTGGATGTTATACTCGGTATTTTATTCATCTGCAGAAGAACAATTTCTTTAGCTTTCTTCTTCGTTGTATACCCCAGAGGAATTCCCCCACCCCCAACACTCTGAAATGAAACTCTATCTATATATTACCTCTGTGTTCTTTTACCACTGAAGGGGTAGTGGAAGCAAATCAATCCTGTGCACAGGTTTACAAGGGTTGTTATGTGTTTTAAACAACACACTTTGATTTCCATCCTCAGGGAATATTATATGCTTCAACATTTGACAGATGAAAATAGATAGACTTGGAATACTCTTCCTTTTTTATGAAGATTACTGTACTTTATAATGCCTTGGTAAGGCCACACTTGGAATATTGCATCCAGTTTTGGTTGCCACGATGTAAAAGAACAGAAGTTGAGACTCTAGAAAGAGTGCAGAGAAGAGCAACAAAGAGAATTAGGGGACTGGAGGCTAAAACATATGAAGAACGGTTGCAGGAACTGGGTATGTCCGGTTTAATGAAAAGAAGGACTAGGGGAGACATGATAGCAGTGTTCCAATATCTCAGGGGCTGCCACAAAGAAGAGGGAGTCAAACTATTCTCCAAAGCACCTGAGGGTAGAACAAGAAGCAATGGCTGGAAACTAATCAAGGATAGAAGCAACTTAGAACTAAGGAGAAATTTCCTGACACTGAGAACAATTAATCAGTGGAACTACTAGCCTCCAGAAGTTGTGGGTGCTCCAACATTGGAGGTTTTTAAGAAGAGATTGGACATTTGTCTGAAATGGTAGAGGGTTTTCTACTTGAGCAGGAGGTTGGATAAGAAGACTTCCAGAAGGCCCTCTTATTCTGTTATTCTCTTTTATTCAATTATTCTGTCTGATATCCTCAAGACTCTTAGTCTTGAGGATAGTCTAAGACTATCTATATTTGACTTTTCATAGAGCTTATCCTCAATTTGAAAGACATCGGCTTCAACTAAATTTCACAAAATTGGCACTCTGCAGATGATTTGGGACACCTTGAATTCCTAGCCAGCATCGACCACATTGACTGGGGAATCTAGAGGTTGCTTGCCCAGCATGTCTGCTGGGTAGAAGGTTAAAAAGAACTGAGTAGATGATCCCAAATAATAGATCCTAGATCTTTTCCCTAATATGGCATCTTCCAAGTAGATTTGGAACCCCAATTCTCAACATCCTCTAGATGCTGATAGTCCTATGCGTTTGCCCATGAGGGCTCTTCTGATAGCATCTATGGGCACTTGCAGCCCATCTTTTCTTCACCAAAACAGGGAAAGTGCATCTCAATTTCAATTATTTATTTATTTATTGTTTATTTATTGATTCGATTTATATGCTGCCCTTCTCCAGAGACTCAGGGCGGCTTACAATGCGTTAAGCAATAGCCTTCATACTTTTGTATATACCTGCTTAGTAGGGCTTTCGGGCCCCCCAAGGGGTGTTCTTTTTTATACAAAGTCAGCTTATTGCCCCCACAATCCGAGTCCTTATTTTACGTATCTCGAAAGGATGGAAGGCTGAGTCAACCTTGAGCGTGGTGAGATTTGAACTTGTAGTAATTGCAGGCAGCTGGTATTACTTAACAACACTTTAGTCTGCTGCGCCACCAAGGCTCATGGGGACATGAAGTTCTTTTGGTGTCAGAAACACCGGCACAAAAAAAAAAAAAAATTCCCCTCCTTTCTCTGGGCAAGAGAAGCAGGAGAAAATAGAATTTTTGTGGCCAGTTTTGTGATCCTAGGGACTGATTACTCTATAGCAGGGGTCCCCACCCCGAGCCGTGGCCCACTAGTGGGCCTTGAGCCATTCGCAACTGGGCCACAGAAGTGGTGGGTGATTTGGGTGAGGGGTGCACGCACATGCCCACCGTTCATGCAAATGGAGCTCTGTGTGTGCTTGCCCACCACTCATGCAGAACCATCCCCTCTCTCCCCACTCCCTGCCAGTCTGGAAGGCCGGAAAGGTTGGGGAACTCTGCTTTATAGCAGGGGTCTCCAACCTTGGCAACTTTAAGACTTGTGGACCTCAACTCCCATAATTCCTTAGCCAGCTGAGGGTTTTCTGCTGCAGTAAAAAGTGGCACCCAAGGAGAAATTCCCCATTCTGCTTTTCAAACAGATTAACAGAGTTGGAAGGGACTTTATAGGTCATCTAGTCCAACCCCTCCCCCCGCTCAAGCAGGAGACCCTACACTCTTCTGACAGATGTCAGTCCAGTGTCTTCTTGAAAGCTTCCAGTGTCTTCACAACTTCTGAAGGCAAGCTGTTCCATTGGTTGATGTTTTCACTGTCAGAAAATTTCTCCTTATTTCCAGGTTGAATCTCTCCTTGTTCAGTTTCCATCCATTATTCCTTGTCTGGCCATTGTGTGCGTTGGAAAATAGCTTGACCCCCTTCCTCTCTGTGGCAGCCCCTCAAATATTGGAAGACTGCTATCATGTCTCCCCTGGTCCTTCTCTTCACTAGACTAGCCATGCCCAGTTCGTGCATTTTATCCTCCTCCTGCTTCTGATGTTAAACAGACCCCCTTTGCTAGGACAGGTTGCAAGTTGGAAATGAAATCAGTTTTTCTTTAAGCCAGATCAGTTTTCTGTCAGCTTCCACATTGGATATCCAATGAGAAGGAGGTTCATGAATAATGTGTCAACCAACAAAAGCTCTGTCTTGTACATTGGAAAAAAAAAATCAAAACATAAAATACAAATTAGATGGACATGACCTTGTAGATGACCCTCACTCTGTCAAGGACCTTGGAGTACTCATTTCTAAAGATCTAAGTGCCAAAGCCCACTGTAACAACATGGCCAAAAAGGCATTAAGAGTTGTTAACCTAATCTTGCGTAGCTTCTTCTCTGGTAATATTGTACTACTAACTAGAGCATACAAAACATTTGCTAGACCAATTCTTGAATACAGCTCATCTGTCTGGAACCCGCACTGCATATTGGACATAAATACAATTGAGAGAGTCCAGAGATATTTTACGAGAAGAGTCCTCCATTCCTCTACCCGCAATAAAATACCTTATGCCACCAGACTCCAAATTTTGGGCTTAGACAACTTAGAACTACGCCGACTTCGGTCTGACCTAAGTATAGTACATAAAATTATCTATCACAATGTCCTACTGTTAATGACTACTTCAGCTTCAACCACAACAATACACGAGCACACAATAGACACAAACTTAAATAAACCGCTTCAAACTCGATTGCAGAAAATACAACTTCAGCAACAGAGTGGTCAATGCCTGGAATGGACTACTTAATTCTGTGGTTTCATCCTCAACCCTCCATAACTTTAACCTAAGACTGTCTACTGTTGACCTCACCCCATTCCTAAGAGGTCTGTAAGGGGCGTGCATAAGTGCACCAGCGTGCCTACCATCCCTGTCCTAATATTCCTTTTTACTCTTACTCTTTTCATGTATTCAAATTACGTTTATACTTTTACCTGTTATCTTATATATGCTTGACAAATAATGAATAAAATAAAAAAAAAGACTGCCCTAAAGAAAGCTCCTCTCCTAAGTCTAAGATAAGCTTTAACTTCTGGAAACTTTGGGAAATAAGTTGAGATTTTGAGAATTGCATTGTACAGATACAGATTCTAACAGGGCATTCTTCCAAACCAAATTATAGATAGGGATCTAAACAGTCAAGAACAAACAGTTTTCCTGTTCAACTGAAGATACATCACTCTGACCAAAGCTTTATGCTGTGCTGAAAAAGGCTTTTGTTTATAAGAATCTTCTCTAGGTTACATCACAAAAGAAAGCCGAGTCTCATCTTATTGTCCTGTGAAAATATCCCTCTCATCTTGGTATCCAGGATCCTGGCAGGCAGCCATCCTTGTCTAGGAAAAGATCTGACAGCCCTAATAGCTGATCAGATCATTAGCTAGTAACATAGGTGTGTTAGGCAGAGCCTGCCAAAATGCTTGAAGTAACTTGTGTTTCCTTGGCAAAAGCTTGGAATGAGGCCAGAAGGAGGGAGACACTTGAGAAGGAGAAGGTCTAAACTAACTTGCTGACTTGGAAGAGTTAAGACTAGTATTTACTCGTGTCTAAGCGATATTCCTTTTCAGACTCACTACTTCTGTTAAATCGCAGAATTACTCTTTTGTATATAGGTTCTTTCACATAGAACCAAAATCTGGAGGAGGAGGAGGAGGAGGAAGTATTCAGTACTTTTGTAACTTTTTTTGTTACTTTTACATACAGTACTTTTACTTTTTTTGTTATTCATTTTCTTTTTAAATGACTCCACTTTAAAAAAATTTTAAAGCAGCATCTAGGTTACTGGTTATTTAAAAAGCTTAGCACCTTGATGGTGAACCTATAGTACATGTGCCGGAAGTGGCATACAGAGCCATTTTTCCGGGCACGCGAGCTGTCGCCCAACTCACCTGCAGCTGCACATGCGCACGCGCCCCAGCTGGTACTCGGGCCTCCAGTGCGCATGTGCGCAATTCAGGGGACCCAGCTGATCTTTGGAGCTCTCCTGAGCATCCATGCACATTTGCTCATGCACACGAGTGTACTGGTGCGCTGCTCACTCATGCACAGACGGCGTTCACGCACGTGCATTGTGCATGCAAAAACCACGCGCATGTGCAGATGGTGCAATTGCATGTGCAGCGCACAGTGGGGTGCACATGTGAAAGCTGTGCGCATACGCAGATGGTGTGGTTGCACACACAGTGCATGGGGAGGAGCCATGCATTAGCACCGATGGCACACGTGTGCATAAAGCGTGCAAAGCATGGACCTGTTCAGCACTCGGTGAGTAAAAGGTTCACCACCACCGGCTTAGCAAATTTTTTAATTTTTTTTTTTAATTTGAATTATATGCCACCCTTCTCCGGAGACTCAGGGTGGCTTACAATGCGTTAAGCAACCACATGTTAATAAGAGGTAAAGAAGTGGACTTCTTTGGGAGACTTTTTCTGGTCATATCTTCAGCAGAGAGAAGCGGTCGAAGAATCTCCTTTGAAGAAAATCTTACTATAGGGATATTCTCTCTCTCTGGGCCCAGTGCCAGCAGCTGGCAAGGTTGAGGACTTGATGTAGCCTTGCATAACCAGTTAGGGATTATTCAGCTGAGATCCAGAACGCAGAGTTGATGTCTATCAAAACTCTTTGCATGGCTGGTTTAGTGTGCCTAATCCATACAAAATCATCGGATCATCATTAAAAGCAACCGAATAACATTTTTGGGGTGTGTGTGACAGTCTGTGTTCAATAATTGCTGATGAACTATAAGCTGTACCTTCAGGCTTGAGAATTGCAAGACAGGCACCATTGGGATGCCAAAGCAGGTTGATCTGAGTTGGAAAAACCAAATAGCCCTCCGTCTCCTGCACCAATTAAGCTCCCCCCAACTAATTAATATGATGAAAAAGATGTATTTTATACTTTCAAGTGGCTCTCATTCATTACTGTACACCAGGAGCAATACTGTACACCAGGGGCCTGGTGGCTCAACAGACTAAAAAGCATTGTGATTGAACTCCAGCTGTCTGCAATTACTGTAAGTTCGAATCTCACCAGGCTCAAGGTTGACTCAGCCTTTCATCCTTTCTAAGGTAGGTTAAATGAGGACCCAGTTTGTGGGCGCAATAAGCTGACTTTGTATAAATATACAAAAGTATGGAGGTTATTGCTTAATGCATTGCTTAACGCATTGTAAGCCGCCCTGAGTCTCCGGAGAAGGGTGGCATATAAATCAAATTTTAAAAAAATTAAAAAAAAAACTGTAGAACAACATTTCTCAGTCTTGGTAACTTTTAAGATGTGTGAACTTCAACTCCCAGAATTCCTTAGCTAGTATCCTGGGAGTTCTGGGAGTTGAAGTCCATACAACCTAAAGTTAGGTAAAGGTAAAGGTTCACCTCACACATCTGTGCTAGTCGTTCCTGACTCTAGGGGGCGGTGCTCATCTCCGTTTCAAAGCCGAAGAGCCAGCGCTGTCCGAAGACGTCTCTGTGGTCATGTGGCCAACATGACTAAATGCCAAAGGTGCTCGGAACGCTATTACCTTCCCACCAAAGGTGGTCCCTATTTTTCTACTTGCATTTTTTACGTGCTTTCAAACTGCTAGGTTGGCAGAAGCTGGGACAAGTAATGGGAGCTCACCCCATTACGCAGCACTAGGGATTCAAACCACTGAACTGCCGACCTTTCGATTGACAAACTCAGCATCTTAGCCACTGAGCCACCGCATCCCTGTTAACCTAAAGCTACTAAGGTTGAAAAACATTGGTGTAGAAGAATCCTGGGAAGATCAGTCTTGAAATGGACCTTATAGCTGAGATTCTGTCTATTTAACAATACTTGCCTGAACTTAGCTTTTAGATGGACGTGGATCAGGGATGTTAGCCTCTGTGTGTGTTTGTGTGTGTTGCTTGTGTGTGCGTGCATGTGTTCAAAAAAAGTAAAGATGGCAGTGGCAATTGCATGATTGACACTCCCTCTCTGTTAATGTGCATTGCACATAAAACTTACATTAAAAGAAGCTGGGACTTTCTACAGTCTTGGCTGGCATCTGAACCGTTGAGTAGACTATAGAGCTAATCTAACCACAAAACACGATTGGGTAATGTTTTCTCATTCTGGTTTGTTTGCTAATTATAATTTCAACAAACCGTAACCCTGAACAAAGCAGGAAGACAAGATTTGCTTAAGATCCGAAGCATTGGGTTCTTGATCTCCTCCTTTGATGTTTAAAAGATGGTGAGCCTTGCACGCCCTGCAACTCGGTCCCAGAAACAGGCATGTCTCAGATTAGCCTCGCAATCCTATTCTAAGCATATAATGATTTATTCTGGCAATGGTTTAGTGAGCCAATAGCATGCGCGATTAAGCAACGATTAACAGCCCCCAGCATAGCCTCCTTGCTGTGAGATCTTTTGCTTGATTGGACCCTGGGTCCACTTTTTAGTCCCTATTGTCAATATATGATATGATGATATGATATGATATGATATATATATGATATATATAGATAATAGGACAGAGGAGTTTCAAAGAAGAACAGATTGGCCTACCCATTACGCATTTCAAGAAGTTGGGTTTATGAACCAGGCATGAAATTCACACAAAAGTCCCAGACAAAAACCAAGTTCACAAAATTCCAACTAGAAAATAATACACTGCCAGTAGGTAATATACGCACAATCCTAGCTGACTTTGGCTGAACCTGGCAGATGGGAGACCACTCGGAAATCCCAGGCTTGGGATTGGGAGGTTAAGAAAAATTTCAGAAAAAAGACAACGGTGAGCCACACAATGTATCCGTGTAGTTCTTAGGAGTGAGAGACTTAATGAAAAAGCCGCAAGTGTTCTATGGCTGCCATCTTGTTCTCCAAAAGAATAATAGATATATAATGCACTCCTTTCTCTGCATTTCTTCTAAAGCTCTCGTTCTCCTGACCTTCAACTGGGCAAAACAGTGCATCATAGGGCAACAATTCTGAACCAATGTGCCTCACTGAGTTAATTTATGGACTCGTGACTCCTGAGGAATTGAAATTTGGGGACGTTTGCTTCAGTTTGCTACTGGCTGCTGCTATGCTGCTGCTACAGTCTCGTGATCTTCATTTTGTGACAGTTTCCCAGCCAGTCTCACAATCCCCTGCTCCCTTCCCCATCCAGCAGCAGCCATCTACCTTGTATTTATTTATTGGATTTGCTTTTATACAGATCACCTATTTTTCTCACAAACAACTCCATAAAATTCATTTTGGAGAACTAAGGGTCTAGAACCAATTGAATCTCCAGACTGATCAAATCCCATTCATCATGCTGTTTCAAATTCACACTTTATTTTTGGACTGCCTCTGCAGATCGCAGTTCTACTTGCCACAGATTTACACTAGTAGTTGAGGTCTACTTCAGCATAATCAATTTTCTGAATTTTAATACATGTTTGATTTTAGCATATCCTTCCTGCAAAGAGTTGACAATCTAGGCAGAGGTGGACTTCACATACTGTAACAACCGTTTTGCCCAGCACCGGAAATGTGAGCACATTAGTGGTGGGTTTCAAATTTTTTTACTACCGGTTCTGTGAGCGTGGCTTGGTGGACGTGACATGGCATGGCTTGGCTTGGTGGGCATGACGGGAAGGATACTGTAAAATCTCCATTCCCTCCCCACTCCAGGGAAAGGTTACTGCAAAATCCCCATTTCCTCCCGATCAGCTGGGACTCGGGAGGCAGAGAATAGATGGGGGTGGGGCCAGTTAGAATTTTTGCTATCGGTTCTCCGAACTACTCAAAATTTCTGCTACCGGTTCTCCAGAACTGGTCAGAACCATTGGTGGGTTCCAACCGGTGTTACCACTGGTTCTCTTTGCGCACGCGCTTTGTGCGCAATCGCAAGTGCGTTAGATTTCTGCCCAGCTGTGGTGCGGCAATCTACTCTGCCGCACCTATCAGCTGGGCTAAAAACCAAGAAATAAAGGTAGGAATAAAGCAGAGGTGGGCGAGAGGGCCCAGCTCCCAGTCACAGAGAACCGGTTTGGTGACGTCACATTGTCATCATTACTCGTTCGGCTGAACCGGGCCAAACCGGGAGCAACCCACCATTGGTCAGAACCTGCTGAAACCCATCTCCGGAGCACATGTATGCAGCGTCAAAAACACAGTGATATAGGACGGGATTGCGCCCAGGCGGGTGGGCAGGGGTGGGGGCGGGCCCACCCGCAGGTCACCACTACCAGTTCGCCTAAACTGGTCCAAACCAGCTGCATACCACCTCTGAATCTAGGTTTGGGTCTTTGAATATCAGTGGTCTTAAAAGAGACAGGGCTGAGACAGCAAGCAGAAGATGGCTGAGGCGCTGGCTATGAATGGGAGGAGGCTGAAGCAGATGACCTAATGGACATCTGCTGATCACCAGTTATCCAGGGAGCAGCACATCTAGAGAATGTTGCAGAGTTGCATTTAGTGTCCCAGTTCCCTTTTTTTTTTTTTTTTGCAATCTCTTGATTCCCACTCCTGTGCTGCCACATGTCAAGGTTCTGCATTTTGAAGTGGGAAACACATGAAACCTGTAGCATAAATCTAAAATAGTTTACACTGCTATAAAATCAAAGGCAAGATCAAGGCTAAGCCTCTTTCAAGTTGAGTCTAATGCTTGGTTGATATCATAGACACCATGTCTCCATGTCATTTTCTTGGAGGATGTAAAAGTGCCTTTCTTCCAGATTGGGATTATTATTAATTTTTTTACAACTTTTCTGTTGAGGCCACAGCCCTCAGATGCCCTGGAGGTCCCTCACCCAAGTATTAACAGGTTAGCTTCTGAACCTAGGCAGGTTTTGCCTTGTCTCCCCAAAATATTTTTTTTTTAAAAAAAAGCCACAGCATTTCTCAACCTTGGCAACTTTAAGGCATGTGGACTTCAATTCCTAACTGGAATTGGGATGCTGGCTGGGGAATTCTGGGAGTTGGGGTCCATATGTTTTAAAGTTACCAAGTGTTAAATTGGGCGATTGAGGAGGCAGAAGCAAGGTAGTGTGTGACAACAGCTCTTTAATGTAGTGTGAACTTCAGCGAAGGTTACAGTAACACAGCTCCCTTTATATACCTTGCCGGCCAGGGAGCTGACCAATCACAATTGACCCATTGTATTTCAAATCTCCCGCCAAAACTATATACATAACACCAAGATTACGAATTACAGATTAACAGAGTTGGAAGGGATCTTGTAGGTCATCTAGTCCAACCTCCCCACCCAAGCAAGAGATCCCACACCATTTCTGACAAATGGCAGTCCAATCTCTTCTTGAAAGTCTCACGTGAGAAGCTCTCACAACGTCGGAAGGCAACTTCTGTTCCACTGGTTGATTAATAAGATCGAGAAACATTAGTCTAATCTATGATATAATCCTACCCACCGTGCCTCAGTTTTCCCATTCTATGTGGCCTTCAGTACCACCCCCACCCCCAAATTATCAGCAGTAGCCACTTTCCTGCTGCCTGCCATAACAAGAATTCCAGAGAGCTGGACAGAATGGTGGTAAATTCCTAGATACAGTTCCATCACCTGCCAGCAGGAGGAGAAAGTGATTCATTCTTCAGAGCAGGCAAAGTAGGTTAGGCCCATTCAAAATAGTTACAAAATTCTTTAATTCACCAAGTTGAAGGCAGGGGATGAGTAAAGGGGAACAAACATAAATGGGTATGTAAATTCTACCTGGAATGTGGAACTGTTGTCTTTAATGTTCCTTTCCCTTCTAAATGTTCCCTAGGCAATGATTGTATGCCACTGTAGAAATATGAAAACTCTACTTCCTCCTGTTGGTCTCTTTTCTGGGTGGAAAAAAAAACTGTGGTCAGATAGCTCACCATGCCCTGCCCCAAAGCTGTTTTATTCCTTGCAAAAGAGGCAGGGGAAAAAAAAACCCGATTCCTAGTTCCCAAAAGGATGGAACTGCATGAAATCCGAGGACAGGATACAACTCATCTTTAACAATCCATCTCTTACGCAATTGCTTGTATCTTAACAGGTTGGGCTCGCCAGTTCCCTTCTCCTGATTAATGTCTGCAGCTCAGAATAAGGTATTCATTGAAACTGTGCACTCCTGGTGAACTAATGGGTTCTTTCAGTGAGGCTTAAAATGAATGTGGACGTTTTCTGGGCGTCCTGATGCTGGTCATAGGAGAGAAGTAGAGCATAGACCGTCTTCGCTTAGCTCTGCTCTGCTAATCTGGCATTAAAACTACTGTCATGCAATTTGCCTGGAGATGACTTTAGAGACTGTTCAGAAAAAATTCCTACAGCATGTGGGAAGCAAACTACAAATGGGAGATCTGGTGATAGGATCACATGGTTTCTACAACAGTTGTATTGGCTCCCTCTCTCTACCCTGTTCCAATTTGTTATCTATATCAGTGTTGCTCAGCTTCAACAACATGCTGGCTGGAGAATTCTGGGAGTTTTTTAAAAATTTTTTGATTTATATGCCGCCCTTCTCCGGAGACTCAGGACGGCTTACAATGTGTTAAGCAATAGCCTTCATACTTTTGTATATTTATACAAAGTGCTTTATAGCCCTCTCTCAGCGGTTTACATATTGCTCCCACAATCCGGGTCCTCATTTTACCTACCTTAGAAAGGATGGAAGGCTGAGTCAACCTTGAGCCTGGTGAGATTCGAACTTACAGTAATTGCAGATAGCTGGTGTTAATCACAATGCTTTTAGTCTGCTGAGCCACCAGGCCCTGTTGAGATAGTTGAGTAGTTGAGTAGTTGAAGTTTACTCGTCTTAAAGTTGCTGAGGTTGAGAAACACTGACCTACAGTATAAAACCTTTCATGGCACAGGGCTAGGTTATTCTCAGGACTTCCCAAACTGACAATTCTGGGGAATTCTGGGAGTTGACGTTCACACGTTTTATAGTTCCTGAGGTTGAGAAACTCTGTTCTAGATTGTTTGCTGGTTCGGGAATTATGGAAGCTACAATCCCTGTAGGTCTGTGGTGTCCCAAATTGTTGAAGAGATGTCACCTCAGAAATAGTATAGGTCTGTGATGGCGAACCTATGGCACACGTGCCCGAAGTGGCACACGGAGCTATGTTGCCTGGCACGCGCAGTGTCACCCATTCCTCTTCCGGGTTTCTGGCACGCATGTGTGCATGACAATCAGCTGGCCTTTTACCATGCGGCAGTGCCATCTTCTAACTGGTCTTCCATTTTCCTGTGTGAGCATGCGAACTGGCCAGCGGATCATCGCATGCGCATGAGTGCCAGAAACCCGGAAGAGTAGCTGGCTGAAACCGGAAGTTCAATAGCTGAAACCGGAAGTTCATTTTAGGGTGCACACATGTGCCTTGGGCAGCTCCTCTTCTGGGTTGCGGCCCAGACGTGCGCGTGCTTCCTTTATGGCACTCAGTGCCGAAAAGGTTCGTTACCACTGGTATAGGTTCTCCTGCTTGAGCAGGGGGCTGGACTAGAAGACCTCCAAGGTCCCATCCAGCTCATTCATTCTATTCTATTCTAAATCCAGAATTTGGCACACATAGCTCTATTGATATACATTCCTCAAATAATTCCTCTTCTATCAGCACATCATCGGTTAAACAAATATTGCAGGAGTCTTCAAATACCTAAAGTGCTGCTCAACTAAAAAAATGAGCTAAGTTGTGCTCTGTTGTTCCAGGATAAAACTAATCCAAACTGATTTCCTGACTAAGATGAAAAGCCAGGTGGTGCCTCCCCCATTCCATGTGCAGAAGCTGACTGAAATGGCAGTTGACTCTTAATTCTTGCAGGCTTCCTTAAATTGCATCTGGGGAGTGTGGATTCTCTGGGATGCCGTGTGTAAACTACTGTGTGGCCTACTTTTTGATGAACAACCCTTTTGGTCACTGAAATCATCTGCTTTCAGATGCAGCCAAGATCAATGGAGGCTCTTCGGAGGTTTGCAAACATTTGAACATCATGTCTACGGGTTTGCTTCTATGTCTTTGAGGATATAGACAGACAATATATAGACAGACAATAAATAGCGTATCACCCAGGGGTGGGATTCAGCCGGTTCGGACCGATTCGGGTGAACCAGATGCTAATTTTACACCTGGTTCACCGAACCGGTAGATGTAAGGACTGGCTGGCGCTGCCCACCCTGCCCCACCCCTCCCAGGAGTCTCCACGCAGCCCATTTTGGATGTCTGGTAAGTGCAGTGCCCATGCGGAGGCTCTGGAAGGGTGAAAACAGGCCACCCAGAAGTTCCGGAAGTCTGGAAACAGGCCCGTTTCTGGCTTCCAGAGGGCCTCTTTTGCCTGGGGGAGGCCATTTTTGCCCTCCCGGAGGCTCAAGAAAAGCCTCTGGAGCCTGGGGAGGGCGAAACACACACACACACACCACCATGGTGCAGGAGGCCAAGTAGCCCACGCCCACCCAGCAACTGGGCAGAGAACCGGTTGATAAAATTTTTGAATCCCACCCCTGATATCACCAATTGTCCCTTCATGGCCAATTGCTGAGCAGAGAGAACTGTCAGACCTTCATCAGATCATTCATTGGACTGCAGTATGCCAAAATGTTGCCACTTTTGCTGCAACATTCAACAATAAACCACAATTTGCCCTCAGAAATTGTGGGTGTCCCAACACTGGTGGTTTTTAGGAAGAGACTGGACAGCCATGTATCAGAAATAGAATAGGTCTCCTGAGAGAGCAGGAGGTTGGACTAGATGACCTCCATATCTCTGAAATGATGACCCAACTAATCACAGATTGCCTAATAGATACATATATCATTTGTCAGTTTTCATTTTTAATATAGAACATGAATTAATACAACACACAAAGCAAAGCTTTTTCAGGTCTTTATTTTTAAGAATGTAAAGGGCCCCTCAGACCAAAATGTTTGAGAACCCCTGCAGCAACAAAAATGATAGTTTAGGTAGCCTTCAAAGTTTCCTTCCAACTCTACCATTCTATGATTCTAGTTCAAAGGCCACAATAGCAGACATTCTTGCTACCGAAAGCTAAAATACTTTCCTATCTCTATGTATTCAAACTCTGGCAGCTAAACCATCTCAAGAAGCTTCCAATGCAGTTGGTTTTACAGTTGTACATATTTTATGATGATGCCTTCACTTTCAACCACCATGATGCTCTTCCAGAAGCTTGGGAGAACAAGAGGAGCCATTCAAGGGTTGTGCCATTCCTACAGAACCTTTTCCAAACATTAGGCACACAGAAAAAACAAAACCACTGCCAAAGCACAGTCTCCATGAAGTTTCCATGAGTAGATGTGTTTGGATAAGAGCAAATCATTCTCAGCGATGTCCATGGCTTGGCACGGTTTGGTAAAAATGGAGAAATTGGCAAGTATATAGCATATCTCCAACCAACCTTTTAGAGTTGTGATGGCACAGTAGTTAGAATACAGTATTGCAGGCTAACTCTGCTCACTGCCAAGAGTTTGACTCTTACTTGCTCAAGGTTGACTCAGCCTTCCATCCTTCCGAGGTTGGTAAAATGAGGAGCCAGATTTTGAGGGGCAACTCTGTAAACCACTTAAAGAGGAGCTGTAAAGCACTATAAAGCGGTATATAAGTCTAAGTGCTATTGCTATTATATGTTCTATAGCCAGAAGAAATGAGAAGAGTCTAGCTTGAACAGATCAAACGCTTTTCTAGTCCAGAATCCTCTTTTCTAGACCAGCCAACCAGATATTTCTGAGAAGTCTAGATGGAAGATTCGAAGCAATTGCCCTTCCTTCATTTGTCTCTCAGCAATTAGTGTTCAAAGGTGTTTTTGACAACCTTGAAATTCTGCCTGGAGGTATTGTTCCCAGATGCAGCACCAAGGAAAGGTTGATTGTCGCCTACATTAATGTTGCAACTCAAGCAGGTTTTTTATGCATTCTTTTATGAGTACCTTAGAGAGGAAGGAATACAAAACATTGGGGCCCATTTGCAGCCCACAGGCTTCTCTTTTGCAAATCCTGGATTCTTTGAGACTGGAAACACATTTTAGCCTTGGAACCAGGGTGGTGGGGGGGAAGGGGGGCAGGAATAGGAAATTTTCAGTAACTAAATTGGAATCTTAAATTTTGTAAAGGAAAGAAAAGACGAGGCAAGCTGGCAGGAAGAATGTATGTTAAGATATGCAGCTATTATTGTTTCTATGTACAGGTAATCCTCTTTTAGTGAATGCAGTTGGGGCTGACAACGCTTGTCGTTAAGCGTTGTGATTATTAGGTGGAAAAATCACGTGACAGTGACATTTTATGATGTCATTAAGCAAAAACACTGTGTGGGCCTGACTTGTGATTTTACTTCCATGTTCTCCGTTAACTCTGCTTGTTGGAAGCCGGTTGGGAAGCACACAAATGGCAATCATGTGACTATAGGAGGCTGCCCCAGTTGTAATTACAAGGATTGGTTGCAATGATGGTTTGTTTTTTTACATCATCGTAACTTCAAATGGTCGTTAAAAAGGCAATTGGTAAGCAAAGGCTGCCTGTATTCTTATTCTTACTGTTACTGTTAATAGGATTATTATTTTTATTTCATATAACTGTGAAATAATTGGACATATATAGGATCTGTTTTATATGCAGCAATTGCTGTCTTGGAATAAATCCCATTCAAACTATGGTAAGTAGTTGAAACAATCCATTGGATGAATGCTTTGGCTTTCCTTCCATGGAAGGAAGCTTTGCTGACTGGGGAATTCTGGGAGTTGAGGTCCGCCAGGCTTAAAGTAGCCAAGGTTGGAGACCCCTGATCTAAATCAGTGGTGGGATTCCGCCAATTCGGGCCGGTTCAGGCGAACTGGTAGTTAAATTGCTGGCTGGCCCTACCCCTTCCTGCCCCACCCCTTCCAGGAGTCCCCATGCGCCCCATTTTGGCTTCCAGGTAAGTGCAGGGAGGCCTCCTAGGCCCAAAATGGGGTGTGGGGGGGCAGTGCGCTCCCCTATGATCCATTTTTGCTCCCAGGAGGGTGCAGGGGGTGATTTCCGCGCCTCCACTGTTCTCCTTACCGGGGCTGCCTTAGAAGGTAAGCAACTGAGCTTCAAATTGCTGTATTTTGAATGCTGTGCGCAAGTGTGCGCTCACCGAACCGGTTGTTAAACTGGTTGCATCCAGTGGTGGGTTCCTCCCGGTTCGGCCCGGTTCGGCTGAGCCGGTAGTGGTGACAATATGATGTCACCGAACTGGTTCTCTTTGTTCGGGAGCCCTCCCGCCCCCCCCTGCGTTATTCTTACCTTT